ATTGTGATCTCAGCATATGCCGTCGATTGCGATCTTAATGCTTCGGTCCGCGAGAAAGAAAGCCTATTCACTTATGTAATTTCTCGGAAAGACCATAAAGAGGAAGCTTCAAGGGAAGCGTTTTGTGCCAGACCCTTCATTATCCAGAGTTAAGTTTGACATAAAAAGAGTGCCTAAGAGATTAGCTTGCATTTTTGAATGTGGGCCAATGATTCATCCTTGTTACACACAGACGGGGAAATGTACGTCGACAAAAATTATCTTGGACAGCTTTGGCAAGAGACCAAAATGTATGACATTCTGAAGGATAACATGTCAGCCTTTCGTCAATTTTGCCAATGTTTTCGGACTTAGACAAGTTAAGTGTCCTTTTGTAGATTCTGGAGGCAGAGTTATACCTCTTTTAGAGAGGAGATCGGTATGTGATAGAGATGCCGTTTTGTAAGGTTTACCAAACCAGAGTGGGCTTTGTCCACTTATCGGCTAGACTTTGGAATATATAGATCCACAGCCTGTAGCACCATTGCGACAATGGAGTCAACATAGGCATTAGGATCACTTGACTTGAAGCAAACTCGCCTCCTTGGATAGGACGCAAAGAAGGTACGCATTTCATTCCAATCTGCTTACCCACATAATTGCCAAATACGGCGTTTGTCTGTTGGAATTAACGGCAGTGGCCGTATGAGAGGCATCTTACTCCGAACCAGACAGTAGTCTGATGATCCAAGTGGAGCATTAACGGAAACCTTATAACTGTCGGGGTACGAGGTCAGCAGAAGATCCAGTAAGGATGGGGTATGATCGGCATCGGTGTGGGTGACGACACCAATTTGCCTTAGCCTATGGTCTGACCATAGGCTAAGGCAACCTAGCCCTAGCGAATAACTTGAGCGTCTTTGTGGCCTGCCTTGAATAAGACGGGCGGTCTGAGTAGATATGCTCAGGGAGGGATTCTACGGAATTACAAGTACCCACCTGGAATAAATCTTGTAGCAAAGCCTCTGCCTTATTTAATGGATGGGGAGTGGGCCATTTGGTACACATGTCGACTGACTATTGCTTTGAACTAGTTACGTGAAATAGATGACAAAATAACAAAAGATAAATGACAAAATTATTTTTTAGGATATTTACATTTCAAAATATAGATACCGATATTAAAAAAAAATATTTATAATTCCTCTCAGAGAATAACACGCCATTATGCATCGATTTACAATATGCGATTCTATTTTCAAACTCTTTCGTCATAAAATTATATGCATGTAAAAGAATAGCATGAGTAGTTTAGTAGTAGAGACATTTGTGAATATGGCTGTCTACAAAACATTTAAAAACAAATTAATAAACCTTACCGTTTTTTCCGAGTCTCCATAAGCCAAAAAGAATGAATAGTCATTAATAATTTGTTTGATTTCTTCAAGATTTCCATGATTCAGTTTAGTCAAATTTCGTGATATGGTGACATCCTGATATTGCTTTGTAATCTTTGTAATCGAATCCTTGGTTGAAACAGTTAATTCTCCCACATTTTTAGGATAGAGTAACATAAATGCTCCAAATGAAGAATCAGTTAAGCGTTCCTTGAAGTAGTTAGATATTTCTGTCAACTGTAAGTGTAAATAATGTCAATTTAGAAAATATGTTATTAACTGTTAATTTAAAAACCATAATTTAATAAATATATCATCACCAACATTAACCGTAATATGAAAATATCATAAATTTTCACTTATGGATAATGAATATTATGCATGATCTGTTTATTTTTACATTGGCTTTATTCGCTGCTCAGCGTGAAAGACTACCGAATCAGGGTTTCATTTTTAGGTTAATTTGGCTAAATAAGAATAAAATAAACATATTTAATTTAAACATAGTTTTAGATATTTCAGTTGTTCAGTGGATTTTTGTCTCCTAATTTGAAAACATATATTTTATTTATAGTAAGGCCTCTCTCTTATTTATACTAAGGCCTCTTTCTATATAACATTCCTCGTTTATATTTTAATGGGCGCAAGTCGGTCGCCCGTCGTCGACTGCTGGTTGTTATTTAAAACACAAAAATGATTAGTGTGGGCCATCCTTAAAAGATGGACATGTGCCATTACAGATTTCTTTGCAGTTCTTTTTAAGATCTACAATTATGTAGTATATTAATTGGGTATATCTTATGATTTACTCGTCGTAAGCCATTTAAGCGCCCTCAAGAGTCTTTTGTTCAACTCAATTCACCATTATTGTCAATGTTTATTTCATAGTTTATGTAATTAAATATATCATATAACGTGGCTAGATAATATAGCTATGAATTAAAAAAAAAAACATATAAATCAGATAAATGGTTCTCAAGTGAAAAGAACGTAAGTACCCATAGAAAAAGAATACTCTAGAAACAGATGTCGATGAAGAAATGCTGCAATGAAAAGGTGTGTGTTGTTGTTATATGGATATTGTAATATTAATAATACCTAGACAGTTCACAACGTTAAGCTTTAAAAAGATAAAACTTCTTTTTAATGAAATATTTATATTGCGTTTTAATGATGAACAACTATTTTTACCAAAATGGTAATTAAAAAAATAGTAAACACTGATAGGCGCAAAAAACAAGTCAAATAGACAAGTGGCAGTTCATTGTATTTAAACTACTCTAAACAAGGCATTCAAAAAGTCAACAAAAAAACTAAATATGCACTAAGATGTGATGTGATAATTTAATAATATAATCCTTAAATTATCACAAACATTACATATTATTTTTTCTTATTTTGTACATTAAGAAATATATTTTCTTTTATATTTTATGCAAAACCTTAAGATCAAAGGAGCAATCAGGAGTGGGCGAGCCGTATGTATGCAGCGCGTCCTTGTAGGATATCCTCGGGAAAGCACCATCCGGCATCGACATTGGATACACACTACGCAGCATGTCCTCTACGAGTCCTATTACAGCATCCTGGTCAGCAAATGACATCTCTATACTCAGCGTCGTGAATTCAGGCTGGCTATCAGCTGTCACCATTTCATTCTTAAAATTAAAACAAACAAAAACACCATTAATTTATCATGTAAGTGAAACCTATGCTATAAGATCAGAAGACTGTTTTTCCAAACTAAATTTAATTTGGAATATTAATTATGTTAACTATGTAAAATATATCTACTATGTAATAAACTATTTCTGGAATAGTATGTGTCTCTGGCAAAAAGGAATTATTTTATATATTTATAAAATGACTTACAATATATATATTAGATAATGTTATAAGAATAATCAATAAATAGGTAGGTAGCCACAGCTAAAACTATACATTAACTAACTTTTGCCCATGTCTCCGCTCGCGTGGACATCAAGTCTTTCATTATTTATACTGACTGGTTACATTGCCAATCGTGATCCCGATATTATTCTTGCTTTCGATTTTAGTTCTGGCTTAGCTTTTGATTCTAATTCTGGTCCCAATCCAGATTCCGTTTCTTTTCCAAATATACATAATTTCCCCATAATCGCGGCCGCGAAGAAACACAACGAATTCTTTCATCTTTAATACCGATTGACAACATTATCAACCATGATCCTGATCTTTGTTCTTGATTTCATACCTAACAAACCCATATTCTCACACAGAAACCATACGTAATGCTGCAAATATTTTTGTTATGAAATGGTCTCACTTAAGCTCTTGATTATGATCCCAGTCCTGCTCGCCATTCTAATACCAAACTGGCATTAAACTTGAATCTCTCTTGAACATTGTTGTCACCAATAACTAATCAGCATAAGTAAAGAATTCATTTTACAATCATGCAAGCAAAGTGGCGAGCAAAATTTAGTATCTTTATAAACAATACCCTATATGTTACTCTGAAGGATAAATTATATTAGTTTACAATTTCAGATAATTCAGTTCAGCCATTAAAGCATGATCGAGTAACAAACATCCAACAAACAAACTTTCACATTTATAATATTAACAGACTTATCATTCAATTGCTCCTTTGACCTCAAGATTTCTCATAAAATTTTAGAGATTAACTTGTTTATCAATGTGCAAAATGAAAATTACGTTCATATTAAAATATAATATGGTGTTTCTAAGAAAGATGAAAAAATTGATCATGTCAATAAGTAGGACAAATAAAGATCCCTTTTCTCTGTAGTTGTACTTTATCCAAGCACTTTTTATTATAATACATTGCATTGATTCTGATATATGTACAAAAGCCTTCTAAAATTATGTATATATGCATTCACATAAAAATAAACAATAGGATAATGATAATGAACAATAGTAAATGTACTTCCATAGTAACTTTTCTCGAGCATTTTTGATAAAAAAATATAGTCTGCTTAATAATAATAAAAATGATAATTTCCAAAATTTTTGTTACTGGTAATAGTACTTTCACATTTTATTATTCAGTAATGCTGTGCAATAGGTTTTTTTTTTAATACTTAAAAAGAAAGTACCTTTTTTGAAGTAAGCAAATACTTACTTAAAACATTTTGATATTTGGAAACACCGATCTAGTGCACCAGCCATCAACATTTGGTTCCATAATTGAGGGTTTTGTGGCAGAGTAAAAAACAGTTCTGGTTCTTCTGTTTCAACGAGAAAATTTTTTGGATCCTGTAAAAGAAATTTGTATTTATTTATGCATATTACAGTAGTCAAGCTTAGCATTTTGTAAATTTTACATGAATCTTGATGTGGTCATAAACCTATTCTAAAATGAAATATTTTTTGTATATTTTAGACAAGCTTAGATAAAGTATGAAGCACTTAGAGAAAAAATATGGTAATGCCTCCCTCAGAGGCTCGAGTTTGAGTGGGCACTTCCATATCCCTCAAAATATTTTTGGAATAGAGTTCCTTATCGCACGTTATACTCAGGCGCTCGGCGGATGGGAGCTACACAAAAAAAGTGTAACCGCAACGAAAAATGCTGACCAATATTGGTTTAGTTAACAATTTTTATAAATTTGTTTGCCAACGTCCATACCATGTTGAATACACCGGTTCTCGTCCAATCACCGAAGTTAAGGAGCGTCGGGCGAGGTTAGCACTTCGATGTGACCACCTGGAAGCACTGCGTGATGTTGGCTTTTCTTGGTGTTGCATTTTTTTTATGGTAATTTTTATAAAATATTAATTATAATTTTTATTATAATATTTTATTACCATTTCTTCATTTTTTTAATCATACTTTTTGTTTTATTATTTTCAAAGGTTGTTAATTTATTTAATTGTGCTTGTATATAATTCATAATTTCCTTTATTTTATCCTAAAATATTAAATAAAACTCTTGCATTGTTTGTTCGGGAGAGTATTCAATTTTAAACTTTCAATAAAAAAATATTTATACAAATTTGTGAAAGTGATAGCTATTATTATCTTCATAATAATTACCCAATTGTACAAATTAATGAACTTAATAAAATCTTTAATAAACAAAACACATGGGACTGTTCAATGCCCTTTTTTGAATTTTAAGCATTGATAAAAAATATATATTTACAACCTACAATGTTTCTTACAATTAATTCACTTATATGATTTATTAATTCTTTCCAAATATTTTAATTAATACCATTGTTATTATCCAATTCATAAAATATATTTACATCTAAAGAAAGGAACTTTGTTCTAACTGGGTGCCCCAAAGACATCTCATGTTTCCTTTCTTTGCCACAATTGAATTTTTTGTATACATACAAAGCAATTATATATTTTCCTCAGGGGCTTAACCTCGGAAATACTTACAATCATCATAGATAAATTACAAATATGTTTACAAAGAAGCTATAGTTTTATTGTTTAATGTGTTTAAATATTTATCAGTGAGTAGAATATTAGGATACGCTTCACCACATTTAGTAAAAGATAGTCATACAGCAGATTGTACCAAAACATTTTAAATTTTACTGATTCCGCTAGTTTTCTTTATATTATTGTCACGTTTTATGTATACTTTTAGTGAAACAATATATCAGGTTGCACCAACTTAAAAAATGTCAGTGTAACAGTGTAGCAGGTGACTCTTACAATAACATAAAACGGTACCATAAATTTAGGAGGGAAAACAAAATTTTTGATTTCTCTCCTAAATTTATTATATTAAAATATACGGCAATATTCTAATATTTATTACTAGAGTACGTATTTAAGACCTTGAACTGTCGCTTACACAGAATAAAACACGTTTATTACTTACATTTTTATTTGTATTGCACTTAATTATTTCAATTATATCTATATTGTCAAAATCAGAAAAACTGATCAAATACATATTAAAACTATTTCAGAGAGAAATGTCACAAACGTCAAAATTTACATTACACTTTTAAATTATGAAGAGTTTTCGGCCAGCTTATAAGCATAGTGTAAAATTAATTGTAAGTATTAAAAAAAATTGTTCAATGTAATTTTTGTTCATTTTATGTTTTACTTCACATTTTTGAAGAATCATATTGATGCAATCTACTGTTGAAATTTAGAAACACAAGTCGTTAAATTTTTTCGAATTAACACAATAAATAAAAATAATAACTTAATTGAAATATTATTTTTCACGTCACTACTGAGTTTCAGAAATAGAAGTGTTCAGAGTTTCATGTAGGAGACTTGGTAATGGTATTTGTACCTAGAAGGGTGATAGGTAAAACTTTTCAATTAATGCGATGTTATAAAGGGCCATATAGAATTGTAGGAAAATTATCGAACGCTACATATAAAATCGAGTCACTCAATGAAAGAATGTGAGATATAGTTCATGTATGTCGGTTGAAAAGGTTTCAACTTAGATAAAAGGAAAATGTAATATATACAAACTGTAAATAGATCTAGGGTGTTGACAGAAAGTATATGTGACAGGTGGCTTTAGCAACAATTATGTTTATGCCACGATGACATTAATAACATTGAATAAATATGGCGCGTAACGGAAAAATGTTACCCAGAAAAAAGATGGCGCGTAACAGAAAAACGTTACATTGCTATAAAATTTCTCCCATACGCCGATAAAGAAGTTTCACTTCAAAAAAATGAGAAATTTCAAATGCATTCTCTATGTATAAAATGCAGATAATTATATATTATCAAAGTTGTTTTCAATTTTAGAATTGCTTTTAACATCAAAACTACTGATCAATTTTTTTATCATCATTTTCATCTTGGTTGCATTTTTATTTAAATTGTTATAAAATATATTGAACTATATGTGAGCAGAACACAATTTTTATCTTTCTCTAGATATTTCAGCATATTTTTTAATTTATGTATAGAATTTTTCTTATTAGATGGAATATTTTGTATGTGTGTGTGTGTGTTGTATATGTGTTTGTGTAACATGCCTGCATGCGTGCGTTTGCGTGTGCGTGCGAGCGTGTGCGCGCGCGCGCGTTCGTGCATGCGTACGCACGTACGTGTGCTTCTATTGTGTATGAATAGTATTACTAGATACAAGACAAGTTTATAATAAATGAACCAAACTAATTTATTATATCAAATAATCTTAGTGCTTCTGTGACTAATGTAGGCATAGGTATTTTACATATAATTTGTAGTTTACACTGATTGATTTTTATATTTTTTTATTAAAAATAGGTCCTACATATTTTTTGTTAACCTTTCTTTTAATTTTTACATTAACTTCCTTTACTTATAACCTTTTGCTAACTTCATATTGTTTTTTTCTTAGATGATCTATATACAATGGAATCTCAATAACTCGAATGTCAAGGGAAATGCAAAAAAATTTGAGTTAACGAGGTTTTGACTTAACAAGAACTTCGAGATACAATATGACTTAACTGCTGAAATTTCGACTCACAAAGTAAACTGTACACTAAAAAAAAATCAAACATAACGGAACAAACATAAAGACAAAAACAATAGATTAGAAGCCCTGAACCCGAGCATTCATTTTGTAATTTATTGCTATTATTTCAGGGAATTCCAAGTAAGACGTTATTATATTTTACCAACTACGGCATACAGAGTCTCCTTTTTGAAACTCGAGTTATGAGTATAAATATGTATTATCAATACTTCGTAGGGAAATAACATTTTGTTCGAGTTACAAAGTCTAAATAATTCGAGATACCGCGTATTTAGGGGTTCATCGGAAGGGAATGGCAATTTTTTGCGACTTACTGAGGATTTCGACTTAACGAGGTTCGAGTTATTGAGATTCCACTGTATTAAACTTTTTGACGACCATAGTTTGATATATCCAATAAACAAGATTGTCAGAAAGAAATCATTGCCAAATATATTAGACAAATTATCCTTTATAGTTTTTTTTTGTTTATACTTTATTTTCATGCAAGAAAAGAACGAAAATAAAAACGTATACATATGTTTGTAATGAATCAAATGGTTTTACTAATACACAAACTAATCTTAAATTGAATTCTAGATATATTATAATATTGAAACGAAAACACCAATTTTATTCAATGCAAATTATTGATTTTCTTATAAACTCATAAAGCCAAAGTCGGATATATCAGACAGTGATGCGACAGTGGCTCCATTTTATTTTTGGTTATAATTTCATTACTCCAATTGCTTAGTTAGACGTTACTGAATTGATTTAGAAATTTTCAATTTAAAACTAAATTAAGTGAATTTTATAATTTAATTCTACATGAAAATTGATTTTTTTTTTATAGTATAGTGGAGGGATAAATGAGCAGGAGAGCCATCAGAGAGTAGATTGTCACCGCCGCCCATGTATACACGCCAGTGCCTTGCCAGCCTTTGGGGTAGGAACTGGATATCTGATGCAGGGAAGAATAAACTACCAGAACTTTCACTCATTGGATAAAAAGCACAGCGGAAGCTGTTACTTCATATCTGTATTCCACGAGACTTGTATTTTATTGGTAGAGCCCCCCCCCCATTTTCCTATGGTTGCAAAGTTGACTACAGCATGGCTCTACCACACATTATTTTTTTATAAATGACTATTATTGATTTCTAAGAAATACCAATATAGTAAAAGAGATTTGTAATTAATTCTTTACATAGTATGAAAATGTATAAAATTCGTAAGTTACAATTAAATTGCAACATATTTGATCCAGTCACTAGATAGGTACAATTCATATTTACTTTGAAAGTCAAAGTCGGAGAAATCTGACCGCTTATGAAGTTATATTTTTATTAGTATTATAGACACAATTCTATCAAACTTTATTAGTACTTTTAGAGCCCTTGTTGGAAACATTCAACCGCTTCATGTCACAGACGATTTTATTATTCAACAAATGTTGTGCTCTTAATATTTCTTATAGAGAAAATTTTTAAAAAAAAGCATATATATATATATATGCTTTTTATATATATATATAAAGTTTATACAAGAATTAGGAGTCTTTTAAATGTACCAATATATTTTTTTCTCTGAAATGTTTAATTTTAATATATTTTTTGTGTATTCATCATTGAATGCTTATTTCTTTTTTGTACTTTCAAATTTTATTAAATTGTTTGTAGTTCTGTAAAAGTTCGGTGTTCTATGTGTTCACATTTTGTTATTCGTATTTATACTAAGTGCTGATATTATTAGAAAACCTTAGGAGGACGTCACGGTACGCACGGCGGATGAGAAACATCGAAATAGAAGGTTATTGAAATAATTTATAATTAATAAATAAAAAATTCGTAAATTAATATTGAGGAAAATATATAAAAAAAATGGAGTTCCGTTACTACATACATTTTTTATTATTCTATTTATATATTATTATTATTCTCATCAGAATAATATAATCTACAGAATATAATACAAGACACACGGAGAACACGAAGTATATGGTACACGTCCCTCGCGCCGTAAGGTCGTAGAGAGCGGCGGCGGAGAGGACACAGGCGATCCGAAAAAAGTTATCGGTGCCAAACGTCGAATAAAATAATTTTTGTGAACCATATACTACTTATTGTTATGCCGAAAATTCCTAATTTTTAATTTCCCTATACTAGAAAAGTTTTGCATAAAGCATATGCCTTATGCGAATTTATAGGTTAAGCCTATGTTTTCAGCTTTACAAGAGAACATCGGGTCGGTGTATGAAATACACCAGGATGAAGGAGAG